TTTGTCTTAGACAGCCTTAGTCAGCTGTCTAGGTAGTCTTACAATTTCATTAATAATTGTTACCAATAGTTTTTTTTCCCCATTTTGGAAATACAACAGTGGTATTGAATATTCCTTACTGTTCATTGTTAGAGTCTACCATTTTCACACAATTCTAGATAAATATAAATTATGAATTATCTTTAGTCAACCATTTCACTAAACAAACATGTTTTTATAAGTTGTATTGCAGATGCATTCTTTAGGAATTACAAGAAAAATTCTAAACTCATATTTTCAAATTATATACTTCCCTAAGTTACAAACAACAAGTTCTACAGCATAGACCTTTAAAACCATGTCACCAATCTACTTTTCTAAGCTATAAGATCCATTTCTAATAGTGAAAAAAAATTGAAATTCTTTGATTCTCACAAGTTTTGCTTAGCCAATGTGGACTCCACTCTGACTTCATTTTTAGAGCCAATGGCTTCATTTGTATTTTCCTGGTCTTTGTTTGCAGATGGATCATCCTCTTCTCAACCCATGGTTTCTTAGACTGTCCTTAATATGTTCTCTTGATTATTTCTAACTTCTCCATGTTTCTATTAATTAGAGAAGGGGAAACATTTCACATTGTATTCCTGTCTTGGTTAGGGTTTCCTATTGCTGTGAAGAAACACCATGACTATGGTAACTCTCATAAAGAAAACATTTAATTGAGGTAGCTCCTTTACAGTTTCAGAGGTTCAGTCCATTATCACCATGACAGTGAGCATGCTGGTGTGCAGGCAGACGTGGTGCTGGCACTGAGAGTGCTGCATCTTGCAGGCTACAGGAAGTCAACTGACTGTCACACTGAGTGAAGCTTGAGAATAAACCTCAAACCTTGCCCCTGCAGTGACACACTTCCTCCAACAAGGCTACACCTCCTAATAGTGCCATTCCCTTTGGGGGCCATTTTCTTTCAAACAACCACAATTCCCAATGTAAGAACACTATAGATTTGCAACAGTCAAGGACAGTTTTCTTTATACTGTTCAAGGGTGAATATCAGAGATTCAGAGTTGGTGATTCTCTGAAGGGGAGAGTTGAGAATGTTGCATTTAAACATCTTTGTTTTTCTGCGATGGTCCATCTGTTAAAAAGACAAATTTCTTTGACGAAGCATGGGAACTACACTTATTTGTGGGTGTAAGCATAAATATTTAGAATATAGTTAGGAATTGAACTGGTAAAGAGGCAGTGCTTGGTTATCCTCCCAGACCCATGACTTTCTAGCCCCAGTTAGCTGGCTAGGTTTACTGTATCAAGCCTGAGTTTCCTCTTGTTGCATGTCTTAAGGCCAATCAGAAAGCTGTTGGTTACCACCAAGGTGTGTACTATTGCACACTTAGAGGAATTATGCCATGCTGGCCATCTTATATGTACAAGTCACATTATGTATACTAAGCAGGTTGTCTTTACATATTTAGCAATATATATACAACAACAATTAAAAGAAAAGGAGCCCGTAAATTTGAGGGGGAGCCACTGGGAGTATATGAGAAAAGTTGGAGAGAGGAAAAAGAAGGGGAGAAATGGCGTAATTACATTATAATTTCCAAACAAATCATCATAAAATTAGTTACTCCCCCTACAGTCTTTGGGAAAGAAGAAAAGTATATACTTTGTCTTCTTAAAAGTGAATGCATCAAATAAAGACAACAGAATACAGCTTCGAAAGTGGCTTGTGACAAAAGTTCCTGTTGCCTCCCCAAGTGTCCTTCTGCTGCATGGAATGGGAAGGTAATTTGAAGCATGAGCGTGTCATCATTCATCTGAAATACTTTTCGTGGCACTTCTGTTGCTCAGTAGCCAAATGGAAGATTAATCACAGAATTAGCATTTTCAAATTGCCAACAATCTCTTTTGCAGATGTGCTGCTATGTCACTGAAGTCTGTTGCTTTACCCTACATTTATTGTTAATAATTAATGTATATTTCTGGATAAAATTATGTGCTGCCACCATCTGGTTAATTTAATAGAAATAGTCAAATCTAAAGTACTTTATTAAATATGTTGGAAATAATTATTCTCATTACTGTAATGTAGCAAACATCATGATTTTTTTCAATCAAAAAATGTGAGGAAATAGAGCAGTGTGTGTCATCTTAGTTATTGTTACCGCATACTCATTAACTGAGAAACTCTTTTCTCATGTTGTGCAGCCAGAGTGGGAATTAAGGGCAAAGCCATGCTTTAAGAAGTAGACCACAATAGTTTATCGTATTCTCAGGTAAAGAGCTTAGATAATAAAATAAATTATGTTAGAAAGGTAAAGTGAAATTATTTTCTCCTTCTTCAGATTAGTTTTCATATTGAATAGCAAATTAATATTCTGGAGTGTGGAAAGAACATAATTATTTGACATTTTTCTTCCTGGAACTGTCTCAAGAAAATAAATAGTGTGAGGTAAATGCTCTGAACTGGTAAAATGCTTATAAAATGAAGAAAGCAACGTTCTGCCATTGTGTAGCACATCTTTTTTGATAATTTTTTTTCCCTGAAGATTGAAGCTTTCATCTCTATGAGTTTTTTTTCTTTTAACTTTTTAGGATTTATTTGTTTGCTTACTGTTTACATGTTCCTCTCAACTGTGTGTGTGTGTGTGTGTGTGTGTGTGTGTGTGTGTGTGTGTGTATACTCCTGTATGAAGGCACATGTGTGGAAGTCAGAACAATTTGTGCAAGTTTATTCTTTCCTACTATGAGGGATTGAGAAGATGAACACAATTCATTAGACTGGCCAGCAAGTGCCTTTACCTGCTGAGACACCTCTCCAGCTCCACCTTGAGTATTTGCTCTACTTGTATGATAGACTGACTGGTCAGCTCAGTCTTCCCACCAAGAATAGTCCAAGAAGTGTTCAGGTTTCCATTCCTTGTAGGCGTGGTCTCTTATCTTGAAAATTTCTTTCATATTCAATTCCTTTGTAATTTAAGTATGTTAATCCCTCATTCTTGTTGTCTTCCTACTGCAGCAACAAGGTTGGAAAACTGTTTGCATATTCTCTCCTTTCTCTCTCTATGTCACTGTTCTCTTTTCCCTCAGGTATTCATCTTGCCATATTCATTCCCATTTGATCTGTCTAGTCTGTGACTGGAAATTGACTTATGCTGAGATTCCATTTGAATCCTACATACATTGAAAGATTTTTATAAGCAGAAATGAAAAATATACTAGACACAGGGTTACATGTATGTGAGAAAAACTGAACTTAAGTCAGCATTCTGGAGTGTGGGTAGAATGAGATTAGTCTGGTTTCATCTATGAACTTAATTATCATTACTATACCCCACTTCATCCTGGAGGACATTTTCTGCATACTCTGTGGATCACCTTAATCCTTGTAGCAATGCGTTGATGAATATATGAATATTAACCCATTTCACAAACTAGAATATATAAGCAGAGTGCGATTAACTCACTTGACCCCAACTATAGAGCCCATATTGTCAATAGACATGCCAGTAGTGTGGTGCTCAGCTTTGATTTTCCTTTGGAAGCACCTGGAGAATTCTGAACAATTATCCATGACTATGACAATATTTCCAGGGCAATAATTAGTCTACAGGGAAGCCTAGGGATCGCGTAAAGGTGATTCGATTATCACTAGCATGGGGAATACAGACCCAGAGGTTGCATTTCTTTTGCTTATTTGTTTCTTTTCTTTATGTGTGTGTGTGCACATGCACACTGATCGTGTCATGTACATGGAGGTTAGAGGAAAGCAGCAGGAGTTCATTCCCCCCTCTTCTCCTGTGGGTTCTGGGGTTCTAACTCAGGCCATTAGACTTGTAAGTAGCACTTTCACTTGTGGAGCCATCTCCCCAGCCCTGAAGCTTTGATCTTCAGAAACAGTTGGCTCTGATTGGGATTCTACTAATGGTAGAGATGTCTTCAGAGTACACGGTCCAGATCACTTCTTACTGCAGCCCTCTCAAAGAGACTGAGACAGGTTGTTAGCTTTCACACATTAGGGTGCTAATGCAACAAGACTGAGCTGCCTATGCTTTTCCAACTAAAAACCAACAAATTCTAGATAGGTGCAAAGCTCCTTTAACACCCAAGTATAGGACTTCTTAAAGACTGTCTACCACATAGAAAGTGGCAAATATTTATTGTCTATCTATTATGCAATGGGAAATGCATTGTCCTCATAGAATGTGTACTATAGAAAATCATGTCACAGAGGTTCAGGAAACATGCTAGATAAACATTCTAAACAAGATAAACATTCTACCACCTGAGCTACAGTCCTCACCTACTCAGGTATATTACTGTAAGGTAGTTGCTGGGGATGCTGTGAATGTGTTGCTCTGATTGATTGATACATAAAATGCTGATTGGCCAGTAGCCAGGCAGGAGGTATAGTGTAGGCAGGATAAGTAGAGAGGAGAATTCTGGGAAGTGGAAGTCTGAGTCATAAGACACTGCCAGCTGCCACCATGAGGAGCAGGATGTAAAGCACTGGTAAGCCACAAGCCACGTGGCGAGGTAGAGATTTATAGAAATGAGTTAATTTAAGATATAAGAACTAGATAGCAAGAAGCCTGAGTCACATGGCCATACAGTTTATAAGTAATATAAGCATCTGTGTGTTTATTTGTGTCCAAGCAGCTGTGGGATTGGTGGATGAGAGAGATTTGTCCTGACCGTGGGCCAGGCTGGACCAGGAGATAACCCCAGCTATAAATAGTGACCAAAGTGCTCACACTTTTGGAAGAAGATATATGAAAATACTGCCATCATGCAAAGCTTAGTCACAGGAATGCTAACTAGCAACGGGAGATGCAAGAACTAGCTTCCAAATCAGAAGCCACAATCATGTAGAAGGAAAAAACAAAATAGACTATTCTCTTTGCTCTCTTCATGCTTGTTCCAGAAAGATGGTTGAAGACTCAGCCATTGTCCAATCCAATTATTGTCTTCACAAAGACATCATCACAATAAAAGCAGGAGAGTTGAGAGAGAGAGAGACATGAATATCGCAAATACTGAACACGTTGCTTATTTGGAGGAAGTATTTCACTTTTGACAGTAATGGTTATTATGTTAAGACAAACAGGATTCAGGCAATGTGCTAGCTTTATGAACAGGGTTGTTCCCCTTTCCCAATAGACTATATTTAGGAACAAAATTTTAGTCACTTCTTTGTGTTTAATATATTTTTTAGAGGGGGGAGAATTTTTACTAGCCCTGGTATCTTGACTAAGAACTAGAGACTCAATTCCTCTGTTTGCAACATTTATACAAAATAGCTATGCTTTCTAAAGGCTTAATATGTATTTAATACAATCATCATTTGTTCTTTCATGTATCTACGCATGATACAGAATGGAAGAATCCAGTCAATGCATATGTGTACACAACAAAGATATCTAAGTTTGGCACTGGAGCAGCCTGCTGTTAGATTGTTGAAATGAAGAGAAATTAGGAACAAGAGAATGAGCCACCTATGTGGCAGCAAGAGGAATAAGAGAGGTGTCCCACAGGATAAGAGAAGGAAAGAACTTTAGAGAGAGGAAGTGGTTGGGTATCATGGTTAATTTTAGTTTTTGACTCACCTGAGTTTGAGATCAAAGAAAAAATAGGCCAGGGAACACATTCTAGGAGGGATGCTTTGCTCATGTTTAATGAAGAGGGAAGACTTCTCCACTGTGGGTGGTACAACTCCCTAGTTGGGAGTCATATCTGGGATCCTGGACTGTGTGAGAGGAGAAGAGAACTGAGCAGAAGTCATCATTTCTCTCTCTCTCTCTGTTTCTTGGTTGTAGATCTGATGGAAGCAAAGGATTCAAGCTCCCACTGCCTTGACTCATCTGCAACAACCAATTGTGAATTTGAACCATGAGACAGCATAAACCTTTTTCTCTTAAGTCACCTTATTCACAATATTTTATCATAACATCAGGCAAAGAAACTATGAAGGGAATATAAAATTCTGCTGATGGGAAGCACCACAAGAGACCTTAAAATTTAATCATTGGCAGTAGCCATGAAGAGGGTATAACTGACTTTTTTCTCGTTTCTGACTTTAAAGCAATGGTTCTCCTGCTTCCTAAGTCAAAATCTTACTTGAAAACATACATTTTACATTACTTCCCTAGACAGGTGAATGAGACAGATAAGCTTTCGTTTTACTTTTGAAACTTTTCTCGATTTTATTAGTTGTTTACTTTTTTTTTTAGCTTAGTAAGATAAGATATATTAACTAATTTTGTCAGCTGTGAAAAACCTTTCAAATGTACAAATCTAAATACAACACATGGAGAAGATAAGACATCATAAACCAGTTTCAACTGTGTTTATTCAAAGAGCCAACTGAACTGCGTGTTTGCCCATCGTGATCCTGGCAGTCAACACCTAGAAACTGTGATTGAATTTAAAATTCTTGAAGTGGCTCAAAATTGTTGTTAACACTTGGATGAGATGGATGGAAGTATCAAGAAGGCTGACCTTGCAAGTTCTTCAGGAGTCTGGTACGTGCGCAAAGAGGTGTCTGTACACTGATGACTAGGAACGATAGGGATGCTAAGGGTGGTCAGACACACTGTGCTAGTAATTCACCTGCATCAGGCAGGCTCCTTGTCTACTCTAGTGCCACAATGGGAATACATCAGGAAATGGAGGGGGAAACCTAGGTCATTCCAAATATTCACTTCCCAAGTTCAGGGAAATGTGTGAGATACACAGTTATCTTAAACTATTCCATCTAAACAAGCAAATTTCTGCTCTGTATTTGCTTTGGCATCCATCTCCTCTCTTCTTCTGCACCCCAAGGTGACTCTCATATCTCTGCCGTTCATTAGACCAAAGTTTCTCTTGCTCCAGAATTTTCATGTCAGAAGGAGGCACTTAACTTTTCTTGACCTTAGCTTCAGCATGAAGTGGAAGTTAGAATTAGCTCACCCAGATGATCTGTTCGGGTGCTGAGAACGAAGGTGGTTGGTTAAAAATTGCATGGCTGTGTGTTAATAAACGTGAAACCCAAGAGCCTCTTCCTCATCAGGGCAGAGTTAACACCATGATGACCCCTAGGCACCATAGAAAAGGAGACAAGGTTATACAGTTTCTCCTGATCCTGAGATGCTGGGGTAATGACCCATTTGAGAGAAGCTTTCTTGATGCTGTGTTTAGCCGGGAAAGTTAGAGCAAAGTGAAAATAAAGTTCTGCAATTATGAAATCTGCCCACTTTGCTCCTTCTGCTCTTCAAAGTAAATTCTGTGTTAATAGAGAAAAGTTAGTTAGTGTAACAGACCCCTAATTTGTTACCATTATAATTGTTTTTTTTCCAGACCCATTAACAATTGTGAACGAATTTAATGCTCAGGAAAATGACAATCTCAGCCACAGTCTGATCCAGTCCTGCTGCACCCTGCTGGGATAAGAACCTTTTAAAGTGTTTCCAATGTATCTCATTTTCACTTAAAGGGTATCTTTTATGTCTATGGAGACTTGCTTACCTGAGATTAAATGCTCTGTATCTCACCTCATAATCATTTATTCACTCTCTCATTCAGTACTTACTGAACTGGATTAAGCTGGGCACAAGTTAGCCCTGCCTGTCTT